AGAAGCTCATACTTATAGATATTCCGTGCACCCAGGTTCTACGAAAATTTATCATGATCTCAAGGAAATTTACTGGTGGAATGACATGAAGAGAGGTGTGGCGGACTTTGTGGCAAAATATTCAAACTGTCCGCAAGTGAAGACCGAGCATCAATGGCCCAGTGAGTTGGCACAAAATATAGAAATTCCAATGTGAAAATAAGAAATGATTAATATGGATTTTGTGGTGGGGTTACCGTGCACTCCGCGTAAGTTCAACTCAATTTGGGTAATCGTGGATTGACTCATGAAATCAGCACACTTCTTACTAGTTAAATCCACTGACACTTCTGAATAATATGCTCAATTGTATATCAAAGAAATAGTCAGGCTTCATGGCACTCCAGTTTCCATCATTTCCGATTGATGGGCCCAGTTCACAGCTAATTTCTGGAAGAAATTTCAGCAAGGTTTGGGTACGCATGTAAATCTTAGCATGCCTTTCCATCCACAGACTGACAAGCAAGTAAAACGGACTATTCAGACACTTGAGGACATGTTGCATGCTTATGTGCTTGACTTCAAGGGTAGCTGGGATGATCATTTACCGCAAATAAAATTTGCTTATAACAACAACTTCCATGCCAGTATTCAGATGGCGCTGTTTGAGGCCTTGTATGGTAGGAGATGTAGATCTTCGATTGGGTGGTTCGAGGTTGGAGAAGCTGAACTAATAAGGCCAGACCTTGTGCATCAAGCTAATGAGAAGGTTAAGATCATAAAAGAACGGTTGAGAACTGCCCAAAGTCATCAACAATCCTATTTGGATGTTCGTCGCAGAGACTTAGAGTTCAAAGAAGATGATTGGGTGTTCTTGAAGGCCTCTCCCATGAAATGGATCATGCGGTTTGGAAAGAAAGGGAAATTAAGTTCGAGGTATGTCGGGCAGTATAGAATCATTCAAAGGACAGGGCAGGTAGCGTACAAGCTTGAACTACCACCTAAGATGTCATTAGCGCACCCGATATTTCATGTGTCCATGTTGAAGAATGTAGTTGGAGATTCGTCCACTATTGTGCCGGTTGAGACCATTGAGGTTAATGAATAATTGTCATATGAAGAGATTCCGATTGCCATTCTTGATAGACAAGTCCGAAAGTTGAGAAACAAAGAAATTGCCTCCGTGAAGGTATTATGGCGAAACCAGCAATTTGAAGAAGCTACTTGGGAAGCCGAGGATTAAATGAAAAAGAAGTACACACATTTGTTCGAATAGACATGTAGTAACTCTATGAAGTTGTTCCCATAAATTTTGTATCACTTGTTCAGCTAATGTAAAAACACTCCTTCCTAGTTATATGTTCCTTGTGAGGCCTCGGTTGGTGTTGTTTTGTGTCCTGTCACGTTATTTGACCATATATATGTTGTTAGGATGTGTTTATGGGGCTCTCTGGCAGGTAGATAGGCCTAGATACAAAGAAAATTCTAGCGAATTTTTTGGAACCCTAGGGAGTAAGCCAAATTTGGGGTTGATGGTATGTGGTGTGAAACACTAAAACTGTATAAAGTGCTGTTAAGTCAACCTTGATTCTCATTTGAGGACGAATGATCTTAAGTGGGGGAGGATGTAAGGCCCCGTAAATTTAAATTTATATGTCGTAATGTTCGGACTTTTTGGATTGAACAGTACACTACAGACTTAGAGGAAAATGTTTTGCAGAAAAACACGTTTCTACGGCCCATGCAGCCGCATAATCACTATGCAGACCGCATATTTTCCACAGAGTGAAGCAGAAAAATTGGCCAATTTTGAGGTCAATTATGCGATCGCATAATCGCTTTGCGGCCCGCATATTGATCGCATAGCCACCTTGGACTTTTGTGAAGGGAAGTTCTGTGGTGCATTATGCGATCGCAGAACAGGTATGCGGGCTGCATACTGGTCGCATACCCAGGCAGAAAAATCAAGCCCCTGACGGCTATATTTTGCGGTCACTTTGCGGGCCGCATAACCATTATATGGTTGCATATGCGATCGCATATTTGTGTCGAGGCTCCTAGTTTTTCAATTTTAAAACCCGACCCCATTCTATTAAAACACCCCATTAGGCCATATTGAACTATTTTCTTACATTTCTAGAGTGAGGGAAAGGGGTTCTTAGGGAGAGAAAGGCCAAGCATCACACTAATATCCTTCCATTCTTACTAATTACTTGAAGATTTTCAAGAGGGTCTCCATATCAAAGGTAAGAATCTAAGCCTAGCTCAGCATTTCGAAAATTTCTTCTAAAATAGGTACCTAGTAAGATAATTCATGGGTGTGGGCTTAATTGTTTTGCATGCATGGGTGGTGAGGGAACCTATGATTAATGTAAGCTAAAAAAGACGGTTAAGGATGGGAATAGGCTAAGTCATCGACCGTCCTTCTAATTCTTGAATCAATTTGTGATAATCCTGAAATAGATTGAAGGTGCTAAAGGTCCCGGAAGTTATCGTCAAACGCAAGGAAAGCTATTGAGGCATGTATGGCTAAAAACACCCTCTTCTTAGGAATCGAACCTTACGATTCCCCTACAATTAGTTTAAGCCTCAACCTTGATTGATGTAAGAAATGACACTCCAAATATGCTTATGTTGTAAGACTTTATGTGCAATAAGTATTTAAATGCTCCCCATCATGCTATTTGCTACTTGGTGATGTACTGAAGATATGGATTATGTATTAAATTGCCAAAGTATGTGAAAGGCTCTATATGCCCACAATTCACGATTTCTCATATCTTGAATTGAAATGCTTGTTGACGAAATTGATAATAATATGAAATATGTGGAAAGAACTCGAATCATGAAATGCGGCCAAGTGCCAAGTATGAATTAACAATTGTGACCACTAGCACTTAAGGAATTGAAATATGTGTGTGAAACAAGGAGTGAGATGATTTATGAAAAATGAAAACGTCTTGAGTAAGACGGGCTAGCCGATTGGGCCGTGATCGGATACCATGCCGCACACATGGTGGTAATGTGCTGGGAATCGAACCAGAATTGAAACAGGAAATGATATTGTGGAAAATGCGTCCAAGGGAGATGACCTAGCCGATCGGATCGTGATCGGACTCCGTATTAGAGTACAATGGTATCGTGAATAATGAGGTGTAATGCTAATGATGGCCCAAACTAAGGCTATGGTAATTTCACTTGAAAGCTTATGTGGTTCCTTGTTTGATGTTGTGGTGTTGTCTGAGTTTCTCATTGTTTCCATGATTACTCCTTCTAGTATTATTGCTCTTTCTAATGAAATGGTGTTTAGTACATACTAGTACTAATCAACAGTACTGACGTCCCTTTTGCCGGGGGCGCTGCATCTTTGAATGGCAGACAGTGCCGATCGCAGCTTGTGGCGCATTCCCTTCTCAGTGATCTTGGTGAGCCCCCTATTCTTCCAGGAGTTATGATGTACATCTTTTGCTTGTATGCTTATACGTTTTGAGGTATAGTTGGGGCCTTGTCGCCGGCATTGTCATAACTGTCAAGCTCCGTAGACATTTACGTGGGTTATGTATGGATATTAGAACGGGGGCCATTGAATTATGTTGTATTTCGTCTAAAACTCCTATTCTTCTTATTTGTAAATTGTATGTATTTTGGGGACTTAACCTTGATATAATGAAAATGAAGTAAGTAATTTTTAAAGTTCTATATAATTCGTCTACTCCTTATCTAATGACAACATGCCTTCTTTAATCACAAGCGAGTCAGGTAGTAGTCATCTAATAGGCTGGCGCGACCGGATCCTCTCGATTGAGCGCCGGTCGCGTTCCCTGAGGTTGGGGCATGACAATATCGTTTCATAATATGTCGTATCGTTATTGTATTGTATTATATATGAAAAATAAACTTATAACATTATAGAGAAAAGTTATGATATGAGGTAAAATTGTTATATAAAAAGGTAGGATAAATGATAAAATAAAATTATTTAATAACAATGAAGGGTGAGATGAGAGAAAGAGACAAGGTAACGACGTGGCCATACCAAATTGGTTACATAAAGTGGCACATTTCACCGTTACGTAACGACAGATTTAGCGATACGATACAATAAAATTTAAGTAACAATCAAAACAAACATGATATTTAAAATAATAATACGATACAATATAATAGGTAACAACCAACCAAACAAGCTTTAATGTGTTGATTATTTTAATTTACTTTCAAGCATATTTTACTTCGAAGACATCTTCAATTTTTTTTTAGTAATAATACATTTGGTGATTTAGATCAAAATTTGTCAACATAAATTGTAAAAAACAAGTGTTTTGTTCTTTAAAATTGATAGCTTTTTAGACTTTATGTGATAGATAGTAGTACTAATTATGTGTATTTTTGCCGTTATTTCTACTTGTTTAAATTACCTTTTCTTTTTCAGTTGTTCTCTAGTCAAAAGTTTATCGGAACCAATCTATCTGTCCTTTCAGAAGTAGGGGTAAGGTTGCGTACATTTTACCTTCCTCATACCCCCGAAAATTACTGAATTTGTTGTTGTAATTCTTCGTGTTATCAAACGTGAACCGCTCCTAAACCAATTATTTTTTTTTTATTTTATTGAATCTCGATAACTCAATCCCATTTTTTGATTGAGGATAAATAAGTGATCTTTATAATCAGCGTTTCACTATAAATATGAAATATGAAATATAAGCTATTATCAAAAATATGGATAGGCGATCACTAAATATACATAGGTGACACTAGAATATAACTTAGGCGATTTCATTAATAAAAAAGAAAAAAGAAAACAAAAATCTGTAAATGCAAAAATAAAAAATGCAAATATAAGAAGAAAAGGTAATATAAAAAGAAAAAGAAAAATATTTACCAAATGACTTATTATCAGATTTGACGGTTCAGATTGATTCTAAATTCCTTATCGTATACCTTCTCACACTTGATAATTCCCAAAGGCTAGTAAAACCATGAAACGTCTCTCAGAAAGCTAAACTATAAATACCCGAAAATCAAAAAAATTAAATAAAACAAATAAACAAAATTGCGGATCGGAAAAGAATACATCGCCGTGAGTCACGACTGATCCGCCGCCGTAAATGGAAGGAGTAGGGGCTAGATTTGGCCGGTCATCAACTAGGTACGGTCCAACAACTGTATTTACCGGTCCGGTTCGTAGATGGAAGAAGAAGTGGATCCATATTAGCTCAAACAAAAACAATCATCAAACGACGACGGCAGCTGCTAACGGCGGAGTTAACGGCAGTAATGGCTCTCATCTTTTGCTTTTGAAGTGGAGACCTATTACTGCCAGCCAAAATAACAGTAGCGAGGAAAAGGATGGCGATTATAACAAAGACGAAGACGTTCCGATCGAGGAACCACGCAAGCGAAAATTCAAGTTTATTCCGGTAATAAATTGTTAATCTTTTTAATTTTTGTTTTTTAAATTACTTAATTTGAGTGTTTTTTAGAGATCAACCGTATATATTTCCCTGTATATAGTCAGAAGCGGATGCAAGACATTGGTACCGGGTTCAACTGATGCGGAGCATAAATTTATGTGTAAAAATTCAATAATATTACAATATATAGCAATATGAGCCCATAACTTTAAAAATACAATGAGTACAATATATAGCAATATGAGCTCATAACTTTAAAAATACAATGAGTTCAACAGGTTGAACCCATAAAACTTAAATCCTAGATCCGCCTCTGTATATAGTATTTTTTTGACGACATGTTGCCGGACCAGCTTGCCCGGACCTCAACTATTTCTGCTAGCTCCTATCAGCACATTTATCGGATAAATATGCACTCGAAGGATTAGACGGATGAAAAAAAGTCACCTCATAAATTTTAACATGTGATAGCAAGTAACTTAATATTTATCAAGAAATTTACCTATAATTACCTAATAAGTAACCTAATTGTGTAAATATTTTTTGCATTGTTTAGAATTTAAACATATAAATTTATAAATTTTCAAGGTTTTATTAGTTTTATTTTTTTTATTTTTTTAGTTACTGAATTTGATTGCTTAGATCATCTAAGTATTTCCCCCATCTAATTGCATTAGTGTCTATAATTCATTTCTTATATGTAATACTAATTGATAGGACCTCAATGGTAAGTGCTACAAGATCTCGTGCATTGGAACCATACGCTCTCACACAACGTTGAGCTATTTCAACAGTCTATTGAGTTTGCTTTTCTATTTCGTGTTTTTGGATTATTTTTTTTGATGCTGTGCAATTTGGGAATCTGATTAAGGGGAATTGATTGGTTGTGGTACAACTATTTGGGTACTGGATTTGTTTGAACAGGTTTAAGTTTTATACATTGAGTAGTATTTTTATGCTATCTAGTTACTTGAAAGCAAGGTAAGTGGACTTCTGCAACCAATTAAAATATAATGGAGTAACATTGTTAGTGTATTTATTTTAAAATCTTATTGATATAGGGATTTGAAAAAAATGTCTAGATAATGTATTCCTGGTTGGAATTTTGGAAAGAAGCGGAGAAATTGGTTTAATTGATGGAGAGTAAAGTTTACGGATCTGCCTTATGTTTTGTGTAGATCTGACATCAAATGGCATGCTGTGGGCTGTTAGATATGCTTTTGATTAAACACAAAATCTAATCGTGGGTTTTAAATTGTGTGATTTAGGAAAATACAAGTTATTTAGGTTGGCAAGATGTGGATCTTTCACTGATAAAAGAATATGTAAAAAATTCCAACTCTATTGAGGCATAAGATCTATAGAACTATTGTACTTCTTAGGCTGCTTTTTGATCTAGAAATTGGTTCTGGTGGTGGATATATGTCTCATTGATCACTAAAACATTTTTGAATAGTCATACCTTACCTACTAGATAAAAAAGTAAGTTTTTGTTGACACTTGACGGAACTTTTAAGCTATCTTTTCATCTCCACTGGAAGCAACTTCTTTCCTGTCTCTCATCTCATTTTAAATCAAGGATGCAAGACAAAATCTTTCTCTCTTGTCCGTCTCTTGTCCATCAAATACGGCGGAAGCAGTAGAAGTACTCTTAGACCTCCATATGTTGTTCTCATGTTGCTTGTTGGTTTTTCATGTCAGTGTGGAGACTAGCTATATGCTTGAGAGAGGAGAGGGAAGCTAACATAAGCTTTCACAAATATGTTCTGGTTATAGTGAGTCTATTAGCAGAGAGAAAGAGTGAGAGAGACCGAGAGTGTGTAATGAGCTTGATACCTTTAATTACTGTTCCTGCTTTGTTAGTATGGACACTTATGTGCTTTTTGTTGGTGTTTGAAATCTGGAGAGATGATTAACTTGTAGAATTTCCTTTAGAAGCTATTATATTATGCACCATTCTAGGTGTTATTTACTGGTCCCTTATGCTGAGATATGCTGAGATTTTTGTGGCCAATTATGCAATTGAGAGGAAAACTCTAATTTGGTTTCAACAGCATATTTCTCCAATGATTGTAAACCTTATCTTATGCCTGGTGGATATAAGTAGGCAATGCCAAATTAAGTCAGAGCTGCTAATTAAGAGTATACGGCTTGTCAATTTTCTGGTCGAAAAGCTTACGTGATCTTTGATCTTTCTTTCCGTTTGGAATTTGAATATTTATCCTTCCCCACGTTAGTAATCATCACTCATCATTGATAAGAGTGGATACGGTGCTTGTCACTTACCACACCTAATACCATTGGCAGGGTGGTCTTATTGCTGTACTCGAGTAATCTGCGGAATGCCAAAACATTTAATTTTTTTTATTTTTTCCCTCATCAGGGGTTGCTTCTGGTGCGTCAGTAAGGCAATAGCTTTGGTCTCCTCGCTAAGTGATAATAATATTCATGTCTGGCTGCATCTTATTCATTAATCCCTAGCAAAAAAGAAGTGATAATGAATCTCATTTTCAAAATGGTTGAGATAGATTGCTGTGCTTGAAGATCAAAAGTATGAGACGTCAGAACAGGATGAGGACGAAGCTAGACCAATGGAGGCTGATGGTTGTGATGAAAAACCTGACATCAACAATTTGCTGATGGAAGAAAATCAGGTACTTTAAACCTTCTCCTCTCCCAATGTGAAGAACTACGATAGAGAAAATGCTAAGGGAAAAAAAGATAAGCAACATAACTGACTGTTGTAACTTGTTTATTAGTTTGTTCTGTTCTCACTCGTTATACAAAATGACTAGTATGAAACTTTTAAATTTGATTTGGGGAAGACATGAAATAATGGTTTTTAGTCTTTTCTTGCTATTTGTTTCCACAACTTTGAATCGAGCAGTGGACTTCATACGGCTTAATATTTTGTGTGTTTGCGTAACACAGGATCTGTTCGATTCGTGAAAACACTTCCTATCTCCATTCTTCCAGCATGTTGTAGCCTTTTTGTGTTCTCAAGTTTCTATATTATTTCAGATTATTTTTTAAAGGTTGTTTAAAAATAACAGTAGTATTGGCATGCAATGTCGCTTACTGTTGGTAGTAGGTTTTTATGACTAACCGATATTTCCTTCATTGTTGATCACCTTACTTTTTGGTTGTTTTTATTCTGATTTCATATGGCTTCTTGGTATTGTCCCTTCTTGTCTATATTTTCATTAATGTGGTGCTTATATTTTCCTAAGCCGAGGGTCTATTGGAAACAACCTCTCTGTCCTCACAAGGTAGAGGTAAGGTCTGCGTACACACTACCCTCCCTAGACCCCACAGTGTGAGATAGTACTGGGTATGTTGTTATTGTTTAAAATTTTCTTGAGAAGTTCTCTTCTTTTTTAAGCCAAAAAACAAGGTTTCCCCTTTCGCCTCTTTCTTCTTCGAATGAGAACAATAGAAAACCTGTTATCAACCAAACAGTTTCATCTTTTCTTTGTATCTTTCTTTGGTTTGTTCTGTTTTGTTTGTACCTGGTGTCGTGTTTTTTAACTTTGGTGAGTATAAAGCCCTGGAGTGTTTTATAATTGTGTTGTAATGCATCAGGATCCACAGGATAAACCTCCAGAAAGACAAGATCTAAATGAAAGCACTTTGGACTTGTCTTTGGGCTTGACGGGTCTTGACAAAAATGATTCTGACTCGAAAATCGATCAAACAAAATAGGTTTAATTTGACAGATTGAACTCCAGTAGCACTGGGTCATGATATCTTTTCTGTAAATGCTGCTCGTATCCGTTGGACGTCTTAACTGAATTTGGTCCTCACAGTTGACAATGGCCTAGAATATAGTCACTAGAAAGTTTTTTCCCTATTGGCTGAGTTCATAGTTTTTTCTCCTGCAATGTAGTAAAACACTATGACATTGAACTTCTTTGAATGAAATTTAACGTGAATCACATTGAAGAAATTGTTTGATTTCTTATATTCTATTTTCAAATGTATGCATATTCATGTCTTAGTGAGCAAAGCTGTTGCTTAAATCTTTTATTATAAGAAGGCAGAATGGCCTAAAGGGCACCTATACTTGTCTCACTTTGTCATGCCGGTCTCCAAACTTAACAATTCGCCAGAACACTTACACTACTTCAAACCGTGTATAATAAACGTTATGACACGAGGTTGTCAATGCGTGTAATACAATCTCCTACACGTAGGACACCACGTCAAGAAAATTAAGCGATGTAGGCTCCAAGTCATTTATTATGGCCGCATAGGAAAATAAAACAGGAAATGATTATTACCCTCCAAACCATCCTCTTGTTTTACACTTACCCGCTTAGTTAAGGTTTAGAAAGTATGAATCACTTCTGTCTCTCCTCTGTCATCGTTGCCGGGATTTTTATGTCCAAAGCCCACTTAAATCATGTCTGCTTTTGCTTTTGTCATAAACAAGTGCCGTTGGTTTTTTTTTTTTTAGAAAATGGAGGAAAATCAATGGCGGAACAGAGAGGGGCAATCACCCTTCTAATCAAAATTCCAATATTCTCAATTTTGCCTCATTTCTTTCTGGGTTAACCCTTTTTACATTTTTATGGGAAATTCTCGTGGGGTTTTCGCCTCCCAATTTCAAAATTTAACGGAAAAGAGCATGTAGGTTTGCACTTAAGAAAATAACCTTCCAATTGAGGCTCAGATCTATAATGTTGAAGACAAGGCAAGAGATTGGAGACACCGCCATGGCTACAAACACCGGTTGCAAGTCAGTCACCGTCCGGATCGCCCCGCCAAGTTACAACTCCGATTGTTCCCTTGCCCTAATCAATTTGCTCAGATACCGAAGAAAAATTATCATCACAATCTCAGATTTTTGCTACAATTATTATTCATTCTTATTTTAATATTTTTTTCTTCTTGTTTTAATTATTTCTAGTTCAAAATATTTATATTCACGCTCGTTATTCGCGTGAATTATACCCACTTCGTCTAGCTCAACTATTATTTTTTTATTGTGTTTGATCAACGGTCAGAAGGGTTTAAATAATAGAGTTTGATCAAATTAAAGTGTCTGGATGAAAACAAGTGAAATAGGAGGACTGACATAACAAATTGGGACAAAGTATAAGTGTCATTTAATCCATTCTGCCTCATAAGAAAGAACATAAGTTGTTGGGTGGATAAAGCAAATATTTCCTCTGCATCCATCGGGAAATGTTTTCCCTCAAGTTGTCGTTAACAACTTGTTTGGATGGTTGTTAGTATAGTATCATTTGTTACTTTAAATACAATGTTTGTTTTGACTCTTAAAATTTATTGTATCGTATCGTTAATTCAATTGTTACGTAACGACGAAAAGTGTCACTTTATGGAACGACGAAATTAGTGGTGCGGTAGCGTTGTTACCTTGCTTTTTTTCTCTCATCCTGCCATTCCTTATTATTAAATAATTATATTTTATTCTTTACCCTATTCTTTTGTATAATAATTCTACTTCGTATCCTGCTTTTTTCTTAATAATTTGCAAGTTTATTCTTCATATTGTTGGTGCGTGACATCACGAAACGACGACAAATGATACAATCTATTCAAATATTGTAATCATCAAATAATACAGTATAATACTGTACAATATAATACGATACATTATGAAACGACATGTAACAACAATCCAAACAAGTTGTAGGAAGCAAAATTGCTTTTGTCGACAAGGATTGGGTTGAGTGGTAAGAGCACGATAGATAGCGTGTAATGTGAAGGTTAGATGCATTTCACGGGTATGAATCCTGCCTAGAACTTAAAGACTAGTATTTAAGTAGAAAAAGGTTGAGAGGCGTTCTCATTATCCATCGTGTTTCAAATCGTGCGCTTTATCCTAGATTATCCTGCGCACCTGGGAAGGCGGAAAAGAATTGAGGATCAACGCTGCATTATTTCCAATCCTATATATTATAAAATCCAGTTAGAGCTACTTTTCGAAATGGTGAAATATAATACAGTCAGACCTCTCTATAACAGCATCCCTATATAATAATAATTCTTTATAAAAGCCAAGATTTTTCGGAACCAATTTTTATATTATGTTATAATATATGTACTCTACAACATCCAAAAATATTCGGAATAAGCGAGGCTGTTATAGAGATTTTTGACTGTATACACTATATTTCAATAGCCATCTCCCGTTTGGTGAATAAATTTTACATGTAAGCTCAAATATAGTGAAATAAGTTAGCATAAAGCAAAGGGACCATAGATTATACAGCTTAAATTAGTTGTTTTGTGGTTAATGACGTTGTGGAGTAAACACTTCTCGTAAATATAACTTAAGATTTAAAAATAAAGTTCACCGTGCCGCATAAGATTCTCAAGTCAACCATCACTGGCGAAGTTAGCAATTTCTTCAAGGGCGTTTAAACTTGTAATAAATGAAAATAAATTTCCGATAAAGAGTGTTCAATATATGTTATATACCTCTAAAACCTAATATTTTACCTATATATATAATGTAAATTTCCGACGAAGGATGGTCAGTTGACCATCCTATAAGACATATGCCTTCGCCCCTGTTTGTACCCAATGGCGAAGTCAGAAATTTTCTCAAGGGTGTTCAAATTTGCAATAAGTGGGAAAAAATCTCTGATAAAGAGTGTTCAATATATGTTATATACCTCTAAAACCTAATATTTTACCTATATACACAATGTAAATTTCCGACGAAAGATGATCAGTTGACCACCCTATAAGACATATGCCTTCGCCCCTGTTTGTACCCAATGGCGAAGCCAGAAATTTTCTCAAGGGTGTTCAAACTTGCAATAAGTGGGAAAAAATCTCTGATAAAGAGTGTTCAATATATGTTACATACCTCTAAAACCTAATATTTTACCTATATACAGGTATAAATTTCCGACGAAGGGTGGTGAGTTGACCACCCTATAAGACATATGCCTTCACCCCCTGTCAACCACGACTACCATTTCTGGTCCATTTTCTTTTTCTTCCCTGCCCGAGAAGGGATAAAAAAAAAGTAGCTTATTTCTCTCCTGGATGGATGGCGACTTACCAAAATGCCTTCTCGGTCGAAGACCCCTTTTTGACTAGTAAGGAGTAAGGACGCTGGAAGCAACAAAAACTTTGCGTGAAGTACGTTTTCTTCTCTGTCCTCTCCTCTCCAAAGGCTAAGGGAGAGGCTCCATCCCTTTCCTTCAATAGCTCTTTTGGTTTCAAAGAATTACCGCACCTCAATAAATTCTATCAAGTATTAGGTCCCACCAGCATAAACCGAGTAACTTTACCCACTAAGGCTTAGGCAAATAAAAAGAAATCACCAAGTGTTAGTTTTGTCATCGCTAAGATAGAATATTGTTTCAATGTGTGCATAAGTGTGAGGTTTAAAGACATTAGTTTTAAGGAGCTCTAAGTGGACGTTCGGACATAAGAATTGTAAAATTCCGGAAAAAAATAACTTTTTTTTCAAGTGAAAATGGTATTTGAAAACTAGAATTGTGTTTGGACATGAATATAATTTTAGTTTGTTTTTTGAAGTTTTGTGAATGATCTGAGTGAAAATTTTGAAAAACAACTTTTTGGATCCATCTTGAAGTGAAAATTTAAAAATTTATTGCTAAACACTAATTTTGGAAAAAAAGTAAAAAAAAAGTGAAATTTTTTGTTATGTCAAAACGGGCTCTTAGTTTGTCCTAAGATAAATTATTTAGTATTCAAATGAATAGCCCGATGCTTATTTCCCAGATACCGTCATTGCTTCTTCTCTAGAAAAAGAAGTTCACGACCCGTAGACTTTCCACCTTCAATCCTCCATGCAGCATTGCTAGTCTAGGATGAATATACAAGATTTATATAGTCAAGCTCAATTAGTTTGACACTGGAGAGTTGATTGATTGACATTGTCCGAGACAAGTTATCCATCTAGTTCCTTTATTTGTTCAATTTTTATTTTTCCATTTCATAAACAAACTTACACTTTCTGTCCAGCTATGCGCGTGGTCCGGAGAACAAGAGTCTATTGTAGACAGCCTTACCAAGCATTTCTGCAAGAGACTGTTTCTACGGCTAGAAGGTCACATGGCAGCAACTTTACCAGTTACGCCAAGCCAAGACTCCCCTTCTACTTACTAAAAACAGAACTTTAGAAACATGATGCCATTCTTTCTTCTCACATTCTACAAAGAAAATTCAGATTATCAAGTGTGATTATGCACCCAATCACTTATCAAATCACCACATTAACAGTGGTAAGTATATCATCAGAAGTATAGAGGAAAATGATTAATACATCAAATTGCATTCAAAGATCAGTAATTCAATAATACTGACTTATAACATTTTCATCATCCTTCTTTAGCTACCACAGGTTGCGCCTCCTCGTTAAAATAATCATGCCTGAACCAAGCCAAGCGAAAACCAAAGCTATAAGAATATCTGATATAATATCATCGGATTCCCTTTCATGTACATTTTCAAAGTCTTTTAATGATCTTCATATAGTAATGAGAAAGAAATGACTCACCGAATTTTTCGCGAAAGTTGATATATGCCTGTTCCAGCCATTGCCACATTTACACTGAAGAGGTTCCAGTTTTTCTGCAATTTAGAATTATCGATCACAAGATAAAGAAAGGACGACATCAGAAAATCAAGAAGCTAATGAAAGAAAAAGATGTCCAAGTTAAAGGAAAAATTGCATCAAAGTGGCTTTAACATTCTTAAAACTTTATTGCCGCTCTTCAAACGACTATATGTCCTAAATCCAAATAATACTAACATGGAATGCTATTGAGTTATTGCTTCCTTTCACTGTTCTTGAGCCGATCTGTCGGAAACAACCTCTCCACCTTCATAAGGTTGAGGTAAGGTCTGCATACACATTACCCTCCCCAGACCTCACTTGTGGGATTTCACTAGGTCTGTTGTTGTTGTTACTAACATGGAATGCTATTGAAAAGATAAATCTGGCAAAGGACGACGCCACGGAACTATGCTATAGCAACCACTTAAATAATGTAACTTACACTTCTATGACGTAATTAGTGATGATACCCTACAATTGTTTGCGTGAAAGAAGTCCTACTAAACTAAAGAAGCAGATGAAGCATTGGGTCTTGGAGAAGAATAAGATCACAGAGCACCAGCAAATCGCTAAACCATGTGCATGTGATTTCTCGCCTATCATGAGTTTGACTATTTATTTATTCTCCTTTTTAAGGTAAAGCCCTAGAGTAAAGTGTTAGGTTTGGTGATAACCTATGCTGCGCGGACTCTCCAAAACAGCCGCCGCACCCGTGTCGGATCCTCCAAAAATGCATTATTTTTGGAGGATCCGACACGCACCCATTGATATTTTCGAAGAGTCCGAGCAGCATAGGTGATAACTGATTTAAACAATGTAAGAAATTAGAACGAATGTGAAAAAGATATACTTTAGTCTACAAATTATGTACTAAAACCGTTATAGAAAAGTCGGCTGAAAAAATAGAAAGGATTATTTGTCTATCAATCACACTCTAACATGGTAAAAAGATACACTACTTGTGCTGAGATCCAGAGTAATATTGAACTCACCGGAGTAATTACCAAACTATAGCGAGACCAGATAAGTCCAGTTGCTGTAACAGCTGCAATAACAAAAACAGCTTATCTTAAGAATAAAACCAAACAGAAAGACAAAAGATCTAACAAATGGAAGATATCATACAATGAAAAGTTTAAGCTTGACGAGAAAGACTAACTATGAAAATTGATATGTTTTTTCTGGATTCATGATAGATCAAGAGACAAAGAGGGAATATCGGGAGCTACAACAACAACAACAACAACGACCCAGTATAGTCCCACAAATGGGGTCTGGGGAGGGTAGTGTGTACGCAGACCTTACCTCTGCCCCGATGGGGTAGTGAGAATATCGGGAGCTAATCACAGTAAAATAACACAAATGATTGCGAGAAGGAGAATAATAAAAGACATGAGACAAACCTATTTGCTGGGGTAATGAAATCTTTTCAGGAGGTTTGGCGAAATCAGCAATATTTGCTATGCTGATGCCCCACTTGAAGGTCGGTGCCCAGAAATGAACTAGAAAAGCACAACGAGTGAATGAATCGGCAAACAAAGAAAATTGGAAAAAAACAAGCATACCAACTTGAAGCTGCTAAATATAAACAAGGGAAAAACATTTAAGTCTGTACACACTTTGCAGGGCAATAGAGAAAGCTCAAGGAACAAAACATGAACAACTTGAGCCAAGCATTTAAATGATTTCCAACCTCGAGTCATCATTCGAAAACATCCATACATTGTAGAGGTAGAAATTTTTGAAGAAAGAACTCGTCAAATTATGCATTCATCAATTTCAGGACAAACTAAACTTGTCAAGATTGGGTAATCGATCAGACAAACTAAACTTGACACCAATCAGACTAGCCAACAACAACAACCAACCCAGTCTAGCCAAGATTGCTTAATCGATCTCCAAGTTTAGTATCTCACAATGTAATCAGGACATATCTTATGTAAAATACTAGAACATGATTCAAGAGCATGAAACTACCAATGATTAACACTGACGTGCAGGAGCGAAGCCACACCATTCTAAGGGTGGTCAACTGACCACCCTTAGGAGAAAATTACACTGTTTATATAAGTTAAATATTAAGTTTTAACGGTATATAAAATATATTGAACACCCTTTGTCGGGGATTTCTTTTTAACCTTTTTCAAGTTTGAACACCCTAGGGGAATAAATTTCTGGCTTCGCCACTGCTGACGTGCAGCAATAAATGCATTACGTTATCCATCAATCAATCAACTGCACCTCAATCTCAAACTAGTTGAGGTAAATTATGAATCTTTTACAAAAATTTCCCTCAATCCGGGCTCATTTTCCAATACTAAACATATAACATAAGGGTTCTCTAAAACTTGACATTTTAAAACTGCAATGAGCTAATTTTCATGATTTCCATTTCAGCTGTCTATTTTTTCCTTTCATTTTCCCATTTTTTATATCACAAATTTATAGTTCTGCTATGTAAAATCTAACAACAATACAAAATAGAACCTAAAAATCTAATCTTTTTTTTTCATTTTTTTTTCACCTCTTCAAATAAATAAATAGGCAGACAGCCAAAAATAAAAAAAATAAAAAAATACAAAATAAACGTAAGAAAACCCAGATACAATATGGGATTTTCCAGAAGAATCATCAACTCAATCAGTTTCAAGATGCGATGATAAATATGCAAATCAAAATGGTAAAAAAAAAAAAAAAAAAAAAAAAAAAAAAAAGAAAGATCTAAATCTAAGTATATAAAATTCAAGAATTTAAAAGAAAAAAAAAACGAATTAACAGAAAAAGGAAAAATAACTCACTGGTTTTTGGGCCAGCAGGGTGATTCCATAGAGCCTGAAGTTTTGAAGTCGCCATGAAAGGGAAAAATTCTTTATCTGACTTTTCTCTGTATAATATCTCTCGTATTAGTATTACTGTAGTCTTTTATTGGCTTTTGGTTATTAAAAACAATTTTCAATTTGGTTTTTTAATAAATTCGTAGAATATAGGTTTGGTAGTAACATTAAGGACACTATTAAATATTAAATGGTTTATGATAATCCTACCTTTTTTTTGTTGATTTTATATTTTGGGTGTGTTTGGCTAAATTTTTTCATGTTTCCTTGACTTAAATATTTTAAAAAATATTTTTATTGTGAATTTATTTTTTGTTAATTGTAGAAAAATATTTTATTTATCAACAGGAATAAAAATATTTTTCAAAACTCCTTCTCAACACTTCCCAACCTCAATAACCCATCTCACACCATCACATCCACCCACCCCCACCACACCCCCTCTGTCCAAAAATTCCTTTTTTTAAATTTCAGTTTTTTTTTTATCACCTACCTTGTGACCCCGCAAAAGAAAATATTATTATTATTTTTCTTTTGTAATTTCAAATTTATATATTTTTTTTTCTGCACCACCCACCTCCAACCCGTCAAATCCCACCTCCCCACTGTCCCCCACCCACGCACAAAAAGGTTTATTTTTTACTTCCTTTTTCTTTTTGTAATTTTTAAATTTCTGTTTTTTTGTTTTTCTACACCACCCCGCCCACACCAACCCCATACAATTTTTATTTTTTTTGTAATTTCAAATTTCTATCTTTTCATTTTTTCTGTGCCCATACCCCACCCTCAACCCCAACCCCTCAACCCGGAGTTTTATTTTATTTTTTAATATATATTTACACTTTTAGTTTTCTTATGTTTCGGTCTACATGTTCGAAATTTTACAAGTTCCAAAGTTATGAGTTCGGAGGTTTATGTGTTTGAAAGTTTACGGGTTTAAAAATTATAAAGTTTACGGGTTAGAAATTTCTCAGTTCCGAAAGTTTAGCGGCTCGTAAGTTTATGAAATTTGTGAGTTTGGAAAGTTGTTAGTTCTAATGTTTATGACTTTATATTTATTATATCTAAATTATTTATGAATACTTTTGAAAAGTTATTTTTCTTAATTTGCATACTAAACACCAAAAAATAAATAAGATTAATACTTGTTTTCCAAAAAAATATTTTTGGCGAAAAACAATTTTCCTACCATACACATCCTCTGTCTAAGAAATTTTATCATGTTATATTGACTCATTACATGTAAGAAAAATAGAGTAATATTGTTAGAGTAAATTAAATTATACTAATTTATATTTTATTTATATATATATATATATATATATATATATATACTTGGATGGTTGTTACCTATTATATTGTAATGTATTGTCGCTTTAAAACGATGTGTGTTTTGATTGTTGCTTATGTTTTATTGTATCATATCGTTAAATTCGTCGTTACGTAACGACGAAATATGCCACTTTATGTAACGACCGATTTGGTATGGTCGTGTCGTTACTTTGTCTTTTTCTCTCGATCTCACCTTTCATTATTATTAAATAATTTTATTTTATCATTTACCCAACCACTTTATATACCGTATCATTATTCTTTTTTATAATATTGCAAGTTTATTTTTCATATTGCTGGTATGTAATATCAAAATGATAAACGACGCAATTTATCCAAATATTATATTCATCTAATAATACAATACAATACAATATAATACAATACATTATGAAACGATACGTAACAACCATCTATATATGAAACGATACGTAATAACCATCTAAACAAGCTGATGTGGTAGTGAAGTAAAGTATGAGCCAAAGTATGGTAGTGTTGTTTGGTGGATCTATATTTTATATAGCACAAACATATTTAATTATAGTACACCTCATAGCTTATAAGTTAATGAATATTCATAGGTATTGGGTACTTTATTTTTTCTGTGTTTATATGATATAGTATGCTGAGCACAACATATGTTAGTGAATCATGGACAATAAATATTAAATTTTGGACTTGTTAATTTTAGATGTTTAAATAATTTTTTTTGTTTTTTACAGAAAAGATAGATATCTAGCATGACTAAATAAAGTTTTTTCTACTTTAATTCTATTCTTTCATGAAAAAAATAATTTGTTTCGTGTAAATTGCTCTTTTTGTCTAATTTACGTGACATCGTTAAATTTCGAGACTCAAATAAGTAATTGTTTAAGCCCGACTTTTTCATATGCTTTTTAAATATTTTAACTAATTAATCATCGTTACTTAATATTTTTTATATAATTTTAAATATATTTTAAAATATAAAAATTCTATGTCTGAATTTACCATTAAACTATGTCATATATATTGTGTTTAATTTTAAAGAATAAAATAATGGTTAGTGCTATTAAAGCAAAAAAGATAAAATTCTCCACCAAACTTGATGACTAAAAAGCACAAGACTAACCAAATAATATGGAAGACAAAAGATGAAATTCATTCCATTACTAAAACCCTTACTAGTCATTGTAATAACCTTTGGTTTCACCATTTTCTTTGTGCTACTCTCTAAGCCAACAACAACAACAAACCCATCTTCCACTAAATCCAATACCATGGCTTCTAGAAGTTTTGTTCTTTGGCTACATGGGTTGGGTGATTCTGGCCCTGCTAATGAACCAATAAAGTCATTGTTCACTTCTCCTCAATTCAAGAACACAAAATGGTCATTTCCTTCTGCTCCTTCTAATCCAGTTACCTGCAACTGTAAGTTATAATTTTTTCTTGTATTTGTAGTGTTATTACAGGTTGTGGGTTGTTGTTGTTTCTTTTGGATTTGGTTATGGTGTGATCACTGTGGAATTGGTGTTTTTGGGTCAAATGGTGTATTTTGATTGCATAAAGATTCTATTTTTAGCCTACTCCTTGGTGGGATTTGTTATTGTTTGTGTATTGTTTTTGTTTGTATTCTGTATGATCGCTGTGAAATTGGCATTTTTGGGTCAAATGGTGTGTTTGGATTGCATAAAGATTTCAGTTTTTAGTCTACTCCTTGGTGGGGTTTGTTATTGGTTGTAGTATTCTGTATGATCACTGTGAGATTGGCATTTTTGGGTCAAATGGTATATTAGAATTGCAGAAAGATTCCATTTTTAGGCTACTCCTTGGGTTGATTTGTTATTGGTTGTGTATTGTTTTTGTTTGCATTCTGTATGATCACTGTGAGGTTGGCATTTTTGGGTCAAATGGTATATTAGAATTGCATAAAGATTCCATTTTTAGCCTACTCCTTGGGTTGATTTGTTGTAGGTTGTGTAATGTTTTTGTTTGTATTCTGTATGATCACTGTGAGGTTGGAATTTTTGGGTCAAATGGTATATTAGAATTGCATAAAGATTCCATTTTTAGCCTACCCCTTGGTGGGGTTTTGTATTGTCTTTGTTTCTGTTGGTTCTATGTGTTCACTGTGAAATTGGCATTTTTGGATCAAATGTTGTATTGGATTGCATAAAGATTCCATTTTTAGCTTACTCCTTGGTGGGGTTTGTTATTGGCCGTGTATTGTATTTGTTTATATTGGTTTTATGTGTTCACTGTGAAATTGGCATTTTGGGGTCAAATGTTGTAATTGGATTGCATAAAGATTCCATTTTAGCTTACTCCGTGGTGGGGTTTGTTATTGGCTGTGTGTTGTGTTTGTTTATATTGGTTCTGTGTGTTCGCTATGAAACTGGCATTTTTGGGTCAAATGGTATATTGGGGTTGCACAAAGATTCCATTTTTTGCCTACATTATCTGGTGTTTGGATGGTGTTACTGGTTGTGTATTCTATTTGTTTCTATTGGTTCTATGTGATCACCTTTGAAATGGCATTTTTGGGTCAATTTGCATATACTTGAATTGAATAAAGATTTCATTTTTGATTACAATGTGATGGATGGGGTTGGTAATCGGCATGTCATATTTATTATTTATGGTCATAATTGATTGCCCGGAAACAACCTCTCTAACCCCTCTAGGATAGGAGTAAGGTCTGCATACACTCGACCCTCCCCAGACCCCACTGGTGGGATTTTACTGGGTTGTTGTTGTTGTTGGTCATAATTGATTAATTATGATCTCTATTACACAAGAGTGTTTGATTTGGTGTAGTGTTGCAGGTTCTGTATTGTAATTGTTTCTATTGGTGCCGGTGGAATTGTCGTTCTAGTGTATATGATGAACTTGCATAAAGATTTCATTTTGGCCAATGCCTTGGGGTTTGTAGTTGGCACATCACCTGTATCGTCTACGGTCACTATTGATATGATAATCTTTATAACACGAGTCTTTGTTTTGGTAAAAAATATGGAATTAGTTCAGGTCCAAACAGATTGAGGCACAGTTGTTGTTCTTATTGTGATTGCTTTTAGGGTCTAGCGGATGGGATTGCTTACAATGTAGACTAGGTCCACTTGCATCGGCTGTTTAATCAAAGTTCTAGATCATTTTCAAAGTGTGAATGGATATACATGTCTGGTCCTTATAAGATAATTTGTTGTTCGAGGAGATGAGATAAATTGGCTAGAGAAGAGACATTTCAATTTAGGAATGCAGTTTCTGCTTCAGTATTATGTTGGTAGTTGTGATTCAAAAAAATAAAACCACAACAACAACAAAAAATCCAGTATGTTCCCACCAGGTGGGGTCTGGGGAGGGTAATCTGTACGCAGACCTTACCCCTATCTAACAGGTAGAGAGACTGTTTCCAATAGACCCTTGGCTCAGGAAGGGTAATAAGAAGAAGTGGATAGCAAGAAAGGAAGAAATAGGGAAGAGAAAAGAAAAAGGGAGAGATAAAGGATAAGTAGTACCGAATACTAACAACAAGGGATACAATACCTGAGGCGAACAAAACCACATAACGTAATAAAAAATCTAAGAATATGAAGGGACATGCGTGCTACATAAAAAGAAAGAAAAAAATTGAATAGTAAAGTGTAACATAGCAAAACATGTAGTTTTGGTGTTCCTCTAACAATGTGTTAATGGAGAAGCTCGGGGAAACCAACCCGAGGAGTTTCTAGGAAACATATGTTAGTTATTTCCTTTTCCTTTGCCTTTTCATTCAATTCAGTAGAAAGGGGGAGAATGTTGGTAGTGTAGAGGGCTAGTTAGCCCTGTGGGTAGGGATTTAACCTTTGTAGTGTAGTTCCCCTTTGTTAGTGAACCATCTTAAATAAAAGCTTTATCAAGTTCCTTTATTTTTGGTTGTTTTGACTTTTTCGTTTTGATAGTTAATGCTTGCCATTATAGGCAAAGATGAGCAGCTATAGCTCTTAGATGACTAAGACGAATGATAAAGACTTGCGAAATACTGCTGGGAATAGCCTTCTGTATAATGACAGTTAGGGGTGTACATGGACCGAGTTGGTTCGGTTTTTATCAAAACCGAACCAAACTAACTATATTGGTTTGGTTTGGTTCAGTTTTGTCGGATTTTTCGAGTTTTCGGGGTTTTTTATTACAAGAATATTATTCCAATCTTACTCTATTAAAAGTTATAGATATAGTTTTGATAAGTGAATATGTGTTTAGTAAATATTGAAAAAATTGACAAACATATGATCTATTAAAATATTCTAATGGGAGAATTTTTTTAGTAACACATGATAGTTATTTTCTTAGTCGTGTAACATTAATTTTTCGTTAATGTACGCTTTCAAGGTTAACACATGATAAGATCCCAAATATTTCTACATTTTTTAAAGAAAATTCAATATAAAGTCTTAAAAATATATATATAAATTAAATATTTATATGTCGGTTTGGTTTGGTTTGGTTTTTTTTACTCAATACAAAACCAAGTCAAACCAAACCTAGTCAGTTTTTTAATTGTTTGATTTGATTTTTCGATTTGGTGCGGTTTTTCGGTTTGGTTTGAACACCCTTAATCACAGTTATTCAACAACAAAGGCAAATTGATAAATATAAGCAATTTTCTCCCTGAAGGATGTGTTTGACTACTAACTTAGATAATATTGCATCTCATTCTGGACATATTGGAAGATAATGAAGCAACTCAGGCTGAAACAACTCAGACTAGTTTCAGCCTGATTAGTGCATAATTACATTTCAGGATGTGAAAACAGCTTCTTAATGATTAGATTAGTTTGGCGGTGATTTAGGTGCAATTGGCCAACAACGTCATAGAGCATTCTCCGTGAACTTTATGATGTATCATATTATTGTATCTAAAAATAGTACAAAGGAAGTTTGTAAGAAGAACACTAGATTTTTAACGCCATCTTGTTTGCTGAAATACTATGATGCCAGTCTCGCTTGGTTTTCTACCTGAGCTTTCATTTCCATGAGAGAATATGTAGATTCTCCGTTAAGGACAATAATGTTCGAGCAGGGTTGATACACTAACATGTCTGTAAGATGTTGTAGTCTGTTCCCTACTAAAGTGACAGTATGATTGTTGGTTCTTCACTGGAAATTGCTTTTGCTAGATATTTGACCTTGTCCATTTATTATCATCTCGCAATTTAACAAATTCCAACGGAATAGTGATTGTGTAATTTGTAAATACTATTATGGTAACATTGCCACCTTTTTCACTCTAATATTGGTGATACTTATTACATGTACAATCTAATCTATTTCGTGTCTTACTTTTTTGTAGATGGTGCTGTTATGTCATCGTGGTTTGACATTCATGAAATACCAGTGACTGCTGTAAGTTTTTCTCTTTCACCCCTTTCATTCCTCGTATCTCCTTTCGCTTTTTCTTTTCTCAAATTCTCCTTGTACTCGTGCCAGGCTGCATTATCTGCAAGGATGATACTGAGAAATATAGGATAAAATTTAGTCTAAGGCGAACTTTTTCCACTTAACTTATAGGAAATAAGGAAATCAACAATAACATGTCTTATCCGGTGTATCAAAGGCGAAAAGCGCAAAAAAGCTCTAAGGTATGTTGGGGCTTTAAGCGCAAATAAAGCTTGGGTTTTAACGAAGAAAGGTGCAAATGGAGAAAAACTACAAATATGTATGTAAAGTCCAAGACTAATATCTATAAGCATGAATACCAAATATATGGACAATGAAATTAAAGAAAATTTACGATAAATTGAAATATCAACTATTTAGTGTCGCGTTTTCTGGATTAAGCTCGTTAGCAAGGAAACGTATGCCTTAGAGCCTTGATGACAACACTGAAGCGCCCGTTAAGCACGAAGCGCTTAACATGTTTTGAGCCTCGCTTCTTAAGCGCCTTTGATAACACTGGTCTTATCTGGGACCCCAGTATGTCATCAAATACTATGATATGCCAGTAATAGTATCCATCAAAATTCTTATGTTAATGTTGTCCGAGCATTGGCTTCAGAAACAAAGACATGGTTGTACTTACGGTTATTGATATTGTTTCCATATAATTTAATGTTTAATACCATGTACCAGAGTTCGCCAAACGATGAGAGTGGTCTGCTCAAAGCGGTTAAGAATGTTCATGCAATGATCGATAAAGAGATCGATGCTGGCACTAATCCTAATAATGTTTTCATATGTGGATTTAGTCAAGGAGGTCTCTCTCTCTCTCTCTCTCATCCTGGCAAGTTTTTGTATTGCTATTAAATACACTGAACTTTCAACTTATACTTGATTTTGTAGGTGCGTTAACATTAGCAAGTGTTCTTCTGTACCCAAAAACTCTAGGAGGAGGTGCCGTGTTTAGCGGATGGGTCCCCTTTAATTCTTCTATGTTAGAGAAACAAACTCCTGAAGCTAAAAAGGTAATTGTCTGATACTAACTTCTACTTATAATTTTCTAAAATTTAGTTTCGAAGTCGCATATGTTATTCTTGTCCTAAAGGTGGTCGCTTTCTTATGTGGAGGGAGTCTTAAGTGTGCGCAAAGGGCATTGGTTACGTAAGACTTTCTTAATATGATCGCTGATCTGCTAACTGTTTCACTACTTGGGAGGTATATATGACAATATGATACAGCGCTATAGAGCGAATTTACCACTTGTTCCTCATTTCTACCTAGATATATAAAACCGTGCCTCCGCCTTGTATGGAGGTGCTCGTCAAATAGTATTTGGCTATTTGTAATTTGAATAATGATGTTGATGTTGATGATTGGTCTTCCGGAAACAGCCTCTCTACT